GATGTTAGATTAAGGAAGCGTTGCTGATAGTGCCTTGATGTAACATGCAGTAAACTTTTCTGTTCTAAATTTTAATATTTGATATCTTTTAAAATAAATGCATAGGTTTAACACTTGTAACTTGGAGAAAAATTGTACATTTTTTTTAAAAAATCTTCCACTTAGAAATAAGAAAAAAAAATTATAAAATTTTTTTATTAATAGTCTAAATAAGAGGAATTTGAAGAAAACAAACATGGCAGAAGAAAAGCTGTACAGCTAAAAATTTTTCTTGGAATAAACTATGCTAATCTTTCTCACTAATATATTTCTACTAAGTTTAAAAAAGTCAGAAATTTTAAACATTGAGCATTGTAAAAGTCGAAAATTGTTGCAAATAATCTGATATTTTTTTAGCAACCAGAGGATTATCATTAAAAATAAATTATCACCAACTGTTTGCCCCTTTAATTTTCTACTCTGTAGTGCAAATAAAAGATGAAATATCATTTGTAAAGCAGAAAGCTGAATGCCAAAATCTTGTAATGCTCAGTAAAAAACAGTTCACTGCATGGTCCTGTCGTTCGACGTTTGGCAATCATTCTAGGCACTAGAAATAAGACCAAGCAGTCTGCATGATACAACACTTATCAAGTCCCCATACACCTTCCGCTTCTTGACTTCCTTGCATTCTCATACCACTCCAAACTTGGATAGTCTTCTGTTTTGGCTTTGTCAGCGATGGAGTGGAATATTATAACGTTACTAAAATGCTTCATTGTGCGTTAGTTGCAGCACACTTGCATAGTTTGGGCAAATGCCAACCAATTTGAGCTAATAATGTTTAGCCCATAAGCTGCAATTATGAATGTTGATTAGTTTATTTTCTGGGTCGGGGCAGTCCACGCTTTTGCATGCTAATGAAGTGCATTTTCCTTTCTTTTTTTTTTCCTGCTCGAAAATTAACATTTTGGACGACATAAGTTTCTTCAAAATACAACAATATTTGGATTCTTTCTAGTTTAAAGTTTTTGCCGAAGAAAAGTTTTCCTCATTTGGTTATTTGAGATGTTCAGTTGGCACTTATAAGGCGAACAACGATAGTTCTTTGCGGGCCACAGACTTATCCATTTTTATCAAGCTGTTCACGAAGGTAATTTGACAAATAATTTTGTTATAAAATTATTTATTTATTTCTATTGATAGAGAAACTCCCGCCGCGTTTTATCACTTTATTCCCGATCTTTTGCAGTCTTGATTGGGTTACAATATCGTGTGTAATTTAGAATTAATTGTTTGAAAAATTCCAAAATTTCCAGTGTAGTGCTTGTTGGTCATTAGCGTCTTTTCTACAAAATTTAGTAGTGTTTTTATGATGGCTTTCTAATTCAGTTTTTATGGTGTTCTTGGTTCGAGTAGGATTTTTAGCATAGGAACAGGAAGGAGTGGGTGTCTTGTGATTTTTCATTCTCGATTAGCATTTATTGGAAACTGTTAGGATTAAAGGAGCAAAGGAACAAATTCACCATCTCTATTAACTAGGTTTCTATGTATCATCTTCGACTGGTACTTCTATTTTCTAGTGCTTAAATGTTTGTTAGTTGTTTTTTAACTGGCTAGTGTTGACGTGAGCCATGTTAGCTTGCAGTCTTAAAGCTTTTTAAGAAGTATCCACCTTTATTTGATTTCAAACATAGATTGTAATCTTTTGGAGTATTGTTCATTTACTTCTGACTTTACAGTGCTTTTAAGCTCAGAAAAAAGAAATACCGATTGTAAAAATAAGTTGCATCTTTAGAGTACCTGAAAGCATCTCGTTAAATAACGAGTACGTTACTAAATTTGTTCCCCCACTATCACCCTTTGACTACATTTCTGTTTCAGGTATTTCAGCCATTATTAAAAATAAAGAACGTCTTCATTGCTTGATAAGAACTTGACAGCTGGGCAACTAGTTCGGTCAGACCCACACTTTTATGGCAAACTTAGAAGAAAAAATACTGAATGGGCCAAACGTGGGATATTGCAGTAGTAGTGAGGATGATGACGAAGATGCCCCCGTAGTTATTTCTGATCAAAATGAACCTAATATTCCAATTCGTAAGGGCATTCGAAATACTGGTCCCAAAGGAGTTATTGAAGACTGGCGAGCTTTTGTTCAAGAGCAAGAACTAGCTAGAATTGAGAACGAAAAAAAGGTTTGCTTTTTAAGTAAAAACCGCTGTGTCCTGGCTGATATTTTGGGTTTTCAATCTGTTTGACGCATTCATTTTCTATTCTTATTAACTCTAATATTATTTGTTCTTCAGATAGTGGCCGCAGCAAAATTTGGAACCCTTAGTGGCCAGAAAATCGAAGATTCCCAAGATGAGGAGTTGGAGGCTATTCGACAACAGCGGTTCCAGCAGTTGAAAGACACTATCAGCGCTAGAGGCAAAGTAATCAATTTTTGTTTTCATTTCCTTCGTTTTTTTTACTAGGACCTTTTCAAAGAAATGAAGTTTGTGTTAGGAGTGTTGTCGACATATTTATGTTGTTTCTTGTGTAAAAGATTACCTAAGTTCAAATTGGTCTGATTTTGGTAAAGATATTTAGGTTATAGAACTAACTACAAAAGAACAGTTCTTGACGGCCATTGAAAAGTGTCATAATATGTTGCTTTTAATACACATTTACGAAGACGGTGTAGCTGGGTGTGAAACGTTAAATGAAGTTTTATTTTCTGTTGCTGCCCAGTTTCCTCGAGTTCGAGTAGCTAGAGTGAAATCGTCAGTCCTTGAGACGTCTGCAAGATTCGTAAGTTTTGCTGTACGTTTTTTTAGAATTGATAGCTTGGACTATTCCCGCCCAAAAGTCATTCACCTTTCCGTATTTGCCTTTGCTAGCTTCATTATTCCTGTTGCAAAAAGAGTACCGCTTTCAGACATCTTTTGGGTTGCCTACACTACAAATATATTATAGTGATACCTTGGTAGGGAACTTCGTTCGTGTGTGTGATCAGCTTGGTGAAGACTTCAAAATTGTCGACCTTCTTAAGTTTCTATATGAGTGAGTTCTTGAAATTCAGTTTATTTATTGGTCAAGAGGAACTGAGTGCTGCCGTGGAAGGACTTCGCAACTAGTATGCGTATATTGCGTCGTCAAGTCCTCCTTTCACATTTTCATTGAGTTTATTTGTTACTTCAATGGTTTCTCAGTGGTTTTCTTTCTGCATCCAGATTCACAGTCCTTTTGATGGCAGCGCTCAAACGCAATCACGTTACTTATTTATTTCTTCTTTTGCTGCTTTGTTCAATCCCCATTCATGTGAATTTAGACGAGAAATTAACCTGGCTATCGGAAAGAAAGAGGAATACATAGAAAACGATGATGGCGACTCCGACGACAAGAGTATACAGTAAAAAATTTTGTATTATTTTTATTGTATGAGTGTATTACTATTATCAGTCTTAAAATTTTCTTAATTATACCATTAAAAAATATATAAGCCTTCAAAACGTATTTAGCATAATTCTCATGATTTCTTAGCAAGAGCGGTGACTTATGATGCGCTTTTGTAGTCATTTATAATTAGAGGCTTTCTCATGAATGATCTCTCAAATGCGTTATATGTTAGTCTTTTGTCGATTGCTTTCCCCTCTCTGACGTGCGAATTAAACCCTTTACCGAGTCCCTACTTGCATATTAATGCAGGTTTACAGCTGCTTAATCAGCAAAGGACTACTGTGCTCTATGTACAAAGTTTGCTAAGTATTAATTTTGCTTCCGACTGATCCTTGTTATTGTATCAAGTTTGTTTGTATGTTTGTACTATTTGTTAAGTTTTGGAAGAAAGAGATATCTGTCAGATTGCCATTCAGCGTTAATTTCTATTCTATTGGTCTTGTTTGGTCCTGTGTTTTTGTCAAATGTGTTTTCTGCATAAAAAACTATTAAAAACGGTATTACAGTTAGTACTGAGACCCTCATTTCTAGCGTGTTTTTGTTCTACCTCTCGGCAAAAAGTCGAAAAACCTACTGCTTAGTGTCAGTCAATAGTCTGTTTGTCATACTATTCCAGAGAATTTGTATGATTATGCTTGAAAAGCGTAACTATAAAGTAAACACAAGAACCCGTTCCACGAAAAAATTCAAAACGTGCACCATAAAAACGACATTATTTAGAAGCTGGATCAGCCGGAAAATCAAGCAGCTTTTCTCTTTCCTTATTATGAGCCTTCCCTAAAAGTTTTTCAGCCTCATCTACAGCTTTCCAGTCTTTCCAAGTTCTGTATTTTACTCCCTTGAAATCCAACAGCCTCCTTATCGGATTTAGTTCACGGTCAAATACTCGTTTGGCTTCTAAGTCTGCACATAGGGCTGCAGTCACGTTGGCTGCATCAATCTAAACTTCCGCTAAGTTATGTAGTTAAGTCAATTTAGAAAAAACCAAAATGTGGCAAAAAGAGAACAAAAACATTTAGACCTGCTTTACCTGTGTGTCCACAATACCTCCTCTTGGCGTATGAGCACACCATCCAGTGGCGTAAATCAAAGTTTCACCAGTTTTGTTCACCCGGATACCATCTTTCAGATCAATATGACCTTCACCATCTGTTGGTACACCGTCTATTACTACATTTTCGTATCCTATGCAGTATATGAAAAGGCCGCATGGCAATTCATCTTCAAGTAAAGTCCTTGCATTTTTGAATACCACACCTCTGACTCGGCCTTTGGCGTTAGTCACCACCTTAGAAAACACGGAGGTGAACAGTGAAATGAAAATTAGAAATAGTGTCGAAAAAATCAATTCTTAACTAAAAGTCTACAATGACCATCAAATTTTTGTAATGCCATTTCAATGTCATAATTTACGCTCAACTGATCCCACTACCTTTTCCAACAGAAGTTCATAACTCAACTGTAAGAAGTGAAAGCCTCGTAAACGTGGAATAAATAATTTACCTTAGTCGGAATTTTCCTGAACAGCAAACGACACTGTCGCTCCATGGCTAAATCTGCCGATAAATTTTGCATAAGAAGCTCCGTTAACCGTCTTCTCCGCCTGGATAAGCCTGACAACGCTTCGTTTACCGCACTGCGGTCAGTTGTGTCAATTTCGGCTGAGAATGAGCACCCAGGTAAATTTATCTGTTCTCGCAATTCTTTCGTAGTGAAAGATACCTGAATAATGATAATAATGATAATAAGTTTTTACCCAGAGACTTTTGTCAAGTGCAAATCATATAAACCATTTTATCATTATAGATCACAAATTTAAAACTAGAATATACTCTGCCTGCAGCCTGAAAGTAATAAAGAAGGAAGAATAAACCTCAAGCGGACCTCTTCTTCCAACAATAGTGACAGTCCGAATTTGAGAACGCTTCAAAACTTCAAGAATAGAAAGAGGAATGTCAGTAAGCATCAGGCGATCATCCGGGCTGGACAAAAGAATTCTACAGCAGTCCAGTGCTACATTCCCATTGCCAACAATCACCTACAAAAAAAGTAAAAAGTAAAAGAGAATATCCACATTTTTTGAAGAACCTATTTGTGAGTGAGTTTTAAAACAAGTACCGCTTTTTCACAATCTAAGAAAGGAGCTACTGCTTTCGGCAAACCATTATACCAGGAAACAAAATCTCCTCCTGAAAACACATTTCTTGCATTAATACCAGGTATTGTCAACGTCTTCTGTTTTTTCGCTCCATACGCTAGAACGACTGCATCGTAGTTCTGCAGCAGCTCATCAAATTTAAGATCCCGGCCAACTGTGACGTTACAATACAGGGACAGCCTAAATCAAAAAAATGAAAGTTAAAACTGCAGTTTAAAACTAGCAATTTATACTAAATCATACCGGCTGTGATTATTATTGAACATTTTTTCAAACTGATTAATGCAGTTTTTCACCTCCGGATGATCAGGAGCAACACCATATCGGACTAAACCAAACGGCACAGGACTCGCGTCAAAAACGTCAATTTCACTTGATGGTAGTTTGCGAAGTACACCAGAACAAACGTACATACCTCAACAAAACAACGTTTAGCATCCCAAAGAGACAACGCTGAAAAAACAACGCCTGTCTGTTGTCGCTCACTAGACTTCTTCATATCCTTTAATGATTCTGAGTAACTACTGCTACAAACTGTAATCAACAGATTATAAAACAATGCATACGTAAAAGTGAAATGAAAACTTTACCACTATTAAATCAAGCAACAGCATTCCTAAACAAAGCAGCTACTGCATATAACCTACTGATGATTGAAGCTTTTTTACCACTTCAAAAAAATTCTTCAAATGAAAGTTATGAACTTCTCCAGTTATAATTTAACCAACTTTATAAATCTCACCTGCAGGTCCTGAACCAATTACAGCTATTTTTGGAGGTCGAAAAGATGCTAAAAAACGGCATGACGAACGCCAGATGGCACTCACTGACAACATTTAATAACAGCTCTGTTAACAATGAAAAAAGCAAGCAAAAATTCCTGAAAAACCAAATAGCAACTCATTTGCCAACATGATTTACATCCTCTAAGTGCGTGTGAACAGGAAGGCTCAACCAAAGCCAAATCCCATGTCACTGACCCCGCACACTCACCCTATGATTACCAGCCTACTTTATTACAGCGAGAATCTCTAATTTTGCCAAGGGTTTCAAATACCATAGAATAAACTTTTATGACAAACATGCGGAAGGAACTTCGACTCATTAACTACGCTAAAACCAAATTCAAAAAGGCTTGCCGCCAACTGCAGCGAAAAACTTCTAAATCTGCAGAAAAACCAAAATGGGCCACTAAAATCCGAAATTAGGCATAATGATGAAATGACAGCAGTTTACGAGTCGGGTGATGCAATACGTCTAACCAAAAACCGTTTAATGAGTTTATTCCATAGAGGTAAACAATAAAACACTTTTATAAGAATATGTCTGCAGATTATGGGTGAGTACGCCGAGAAATAAGAATATGAACCGCTGATATTGAGCGATTACGAGTTGCAAAATCAACTTCATCATATAATGGAAATAAATCATCCGTTACCTAAAATAAAACAATGAGTTAGAAAAGGATACTATTAGAACTAAAAAACTTAAATATTAAAGAAAAAGAAGCAAACTAGTACCATAACCGAGCTTGTCCTCACATCAAGCTTCACTGTATCAGCCAACCTTCGCTGCAGCTGCAGCGCTAGATTGATTGTACGACTCACAGCTGCTCCAAGACCATGCAGCACTACTTCATCAAATTTCTCGTCAAGCAGTTTCTGTATCCTTGCTTTCTGTCCTTCAAGTGAAGTATTCCTTAAAAAATGAACGAAGGCAACAAATTAGAAACTGCCACTCTTACATATTCTGTAGGAATTCTTTTCAAGACCTTAAATAAATGCCTAAAAGCTTTCAACTAAACGAGCCAAATATTGCATCAGTGCTTCACCTTGTTATATAAATGTCATTCTTCGTTTTTGGAAACTTCGGAGGCAATCGTTTTTTCAACTCATATTCCACCTAGAACACGTTAATCCAAACTGTCCAAATAATTTAGATATATTTATTTAGCAAAATTGAAATGTTGAAAGTTTTACGTACCAATAAACTTTTGATATTGAGTGCAATTTAAAAAAACCAGAAAAAGCAATCTCCTCATGACTGAGGAGAAAATTACTGGTACAGAAAAACCTGACACAAATCTGGAGTGCAAAAAAAAGCGAATATATAGATGTAATGATGAATTTTACCTCATCTATATGAACTGTAGTTCTTGCGGCTGCTGCAGACATACTATAAAAAGAGCACCGTAAACGCCATGCAAATACACCCAAGCGATACCCACGGACTTAACCGCTCGCCGATACGAGCACACTTCCAGAATATACCAAGCAGTCTTTAAAAGTTTTTCTCAGATTCACAGAACGTACTGATGTAACAAGCAGTGTATAATCAAGAATTTTATACCCCTCTTTATTCCTATCGATAAGTCTCGGTACAATACTGCGCAAATAAGTGCACGTACAAATCAGAAGCAGGATAACTGAGATAAGGCTTTGGAAATTGAAAAGAGCCGACTACAAAACAAAATTGCATAGCGGAAAAAATAAGAAAAGAAATGGGAAAATTAATTGGTAGAGATCAACTACAGTATTAAAGCCTTTAATTACATCTTTCTAATTTGAATTTAGTCTTTAATAAATGATCATTTAAATAAAAATGTGAAAACCAGAGATCAAACTCTCACCCGTCGAAACTCGAGCACTGATTGACAAGGCAAACAGTTAAAACTCACCAGTTAAGTAAAGACAATGATAAAACAGTTTAACAAAATTTCCCTAAACGAAGGACCACTAAAATCAAAAGTGTATAGTTGCATTGACACAGCAGAACTTACCAGCTTGACCGGACCTACGAAGGCTATACCCCCGCTTTACTCAGCAGCAGCAACAACAACAACAACAACAAACACTTGGAATCAAACGGATTTGCAGTTCACACAAGAGCGGAATCAACGATAATGGCAACAATACCGTTGTCACATACAACAGACAACAAGTTCGTGGTATTATTCGGATTCAGCCAGTCGATTTATATAGTTCGTCTCTTGGTTCGCACAACACTTTTGTGCATATCGCTGACGTGTGGTTTTGGCAAATATAAAATATGCTGCACGAAAAGTTGGATTAAGTCTGTTTGCTCTGGTTCAGTTTGATGGCCTATATCCCCTTATAAGTTGCAACAAAACACAAACAGCCACATTTGTTGCGACTAGAATTCATTGCTTGACTGCTTGAAAAAAGAAAGGAAGTATGGCCATCAAACTGAAAGAACTTTGGTCTGTAGACAAAACTAAAATTGACGGGGATAACAAAGGCTTTAGGGGAAGACAATTTTAAAAAGCATTGAATTATGAACTTCGACAATAACTATTTACAGAATTCTGCAAAATGCCAAAAGCAATCATGTGGATTTCCAATTGTTTTTCCAGTATAATCATCGTCAAAAAATATACTGGCAAAGTCAAAGTAGAAAACTAGTCATCAATTTGTACGGAAGACAGGTCAGTTATATTCTTCTGTTTTCTAGCTGTTAGTCAGACTTTAGTTAAGTGGCATACAAACGCGACAACTTTAGCTGTAATACAGATGGCATTTGATAGATATGATGCTCTATGTTCGATAAAAATCTCCAAGGCAAGAAACTTTAGTTTAACCTTACAATCTGCTTTAAACGTGTTTTTTGGTCACTTAGAAGCAAACAGTTTTGTTTGAAGCAGTTTTACAGGCAGTGAGTATCAAATTGAATAAGTCATCTGATAGGTATCTATATAAATTTGTTGACGTTAAAAAAATGTGCTGCGTCATCCCAACTGTTTGGAATCTTTTCAATAAATAATATCCGTTTATTTTTTACTTTTGGTCAAAAAAAAAATTAATTTTTTCCCATAATCTAATGGTTCATAAGACAATCACTTGAGATTACATAATCATACAGTAAACATTCAACAAAAAAAAACAATGTAGGTCTAAGTATAGTTGTAATTTTGTACCGACTACGTTTCACCGGAAGATTATTCTAATACAGAAAAGAAGAAAAAATTTTATGATGCTTGAATAAATGTTCTTTTATTTGGTTTACCTACGAAGTGATAATGTCGTTATTGAAGATAGTTGTGTTAAGATTCACAGGAAAAAACATTTTCTTTTTGAATCTTTTGTGCAGCAATAGACGTCAAATTTTTCTCTTGATATTTCTATGACTTTTAAAAAAAAAAAAGGAACAAAACTGCAGAGATATTCACGAAATCAAAACTACAGGTTTTGTAAATGCTATTTTTGAAGAGTTAATTATAGAACAGTGGGATGCCAAGAATGTTATTGATAGGAATTAGAAGATTCTACAAAAGAAGCATACACTTTTACCTTAAACAGAAGAAAAAAGTTTGTAGGCAAATGACACTTATTTCGTATTTGGTCTATTCTTCTCAATAATGCTGAAAAAATTCTTTATCTGCACTTATATTACCAAAGAACCGCTCTTGGTTACAGATGTATATGCAGCAAATAGTATAACAGATATTTGGGACCTATTTATAGACATAACAATGATTCCTTATCAGTTATAAGACTAAAACTGGAAAGTCATAGGTGACGTTAATTACAATTTGGTTAGTGTTTATTACTCATTTAGCAGAAATCATCTGAAGTATTTAAGAAAACTGATGGATTTCTTAGGTCTTAAACTTTATATTATAGGCCTGTCAACTTTACCAGCTTTGATTGTCCTGGAAAATTAGAAAAGAAATTTTATCAGCTTATCTAACATGATATTCAAGGTTAACTGCAGTTTTTTTAAAGTAAGATTGACTTTTAAAGTATGAAAGTACGATAATGCAACTTCTTACTTGCATTAATCACTAGAAAAAAAAATTTACAGAGCAAAAGCAGCTGTTGTAGTTAACCTTTATTCTTCTACAGCAAGTCTTACTGCTTCAAGTAATGGCTATTCTGTTATTTGAAACATTTGTTGAAATTTAAGCAATCCTGAGTGACAGGTCTGAGTAGACTCGGAATTCCTGTAAAGCAATAACCTGCGGACTCCAGAAGTATGTAACCCATTTCAAACAGTACTCAACTATTCACCAATGTTTATGGGTTATCTGGTTTCAATTATCAACCTGATCCTCAAGTGCAGTTAGTGGTTATAGAAACCTTGTTAATTTGTTCAAACAGCATAACATACAATGATCAAACAGAAGAAAAAACGGAAACAAGTTTTTCCGCTTACCAATGTTTATTTGAGTGTTAATATTTCTTTTTAGTTTTCTTTAATAAACCTCTGCAATTATTTCTTTCTCTTTTAATGCAAACAATGGTAAAGAAAAGTAATCTGAAGAAGAACAGAAAAAAAAAAA